TCGATGAAATATTAGCCTCAGTTGGAGTTTGAATTCACGATCTTCTGCAGTAATCACGATGTTAAAGTTTTTTTTTAAATTATATTGAAGTGGCAAACAAACTTACGGTCAATTTGATGTTGAAAGACTACTACAGCTCATGGAAACTTCTGGTATTACGACTTTAAGAGAGCGATAAAAATAGGATACAAAATATATTATCGCTGAGAACTACGATGGAAAACCACACAATCTGTTGTGCTTTCTATTTATACCCTTCAGACCGGAACACAGCATTGTAGGCACTACTGCTTGCCCAGATGGACACTTAGTCAGAAGAGGAATCCGAAATGGAAGAAAATGAATCCAGAAGGAGAAATTTTAAGTCATGATTTTAGGCGCAAGGCTCGTTTCTGAACAAGGAAGTAAAAATCTACCGCGTCAATCCAATAGTGTAAAAAATGTTCTAAACGCAAAGCGCACGGTAAATGAGTGCATAAATATACAAATAATTATTTTAGTGAGTCATTTTCGTATTATCTGTCATTTTCGTATTACATTTACATCTATTGGATTTAGCCTGCGAGAGAATAAGATAGAATAAAGTTTACAGCGTTTGTTATAAATTTATTTATATTTTAATTTCATAAACCCTACACCTGATATTCGTCTTATTCTCGCGAAGTCTAGTTTTCTGTAGAGTTTACTTCTACCATATGTTTTCTGTAGGTTTCACTTCTACCATATGTTTTCTGTAAATTTTACTTCTACCGCGTGTAAACTGCACACATGTTTCCTTTTATTAACTAGCGACTTGCCTAGGATTTGCCTGGATATGATCTATTAATATGATTTGATTTAGATCCATGATAATCAAACACCATTTATATAAACAATTTTTCGTTTTTTCAAAAAAAAAACTCAAAAATTTTCGAATAAAAATATAGCTTAGATTAGTCTTGGTATTTCTGTTAGTCTCATTAGAATCGTTTCAGCAATTACAAAAATTGTAAAAAGGGTTTTATTCATGGCTTAATGGCACGCAAATAAACCCGATGGAATGTGTCAATACAATGCAGTTTATCCGATATTACAGATAGGTTCTTCAATTTTAATTATATATGTAGGTATACTTTTTTAGTCCATTTTTGTCCCTTGTTTATTTCGTTCTATATCACATTATCATATTTTTTAAAATTTAACTCCATAATCCTGAAAGAGCCGTAGTATCTCACTGACTAAACGGTCGATGTTAATTTAAGAGTACGCTAGCAACCCGGATTCGAGATTCGTTGAACGGTTAAGGGAAACGTCATGAGGAAACCCGCATTTACCAGACATAAATTATTCGAAAAATAAATTATATCGAAGAAAAGTGATGTCCATCAAATTGCATTTTGACAGCTCGGTGGACATTTCCTTGACCTGAAATCCTCTCAGAAATGTAAAGAGGCTGTGCCTAGGATAGATGTAAATATAGTAAGGCTTTGTTCTACTACTTTACTTTAATCCTGTAGCTATATTGACCTTTCTACGCAGCAGCAACTTGTTCTTAGTTCCTACAATATCTTTCGACCTTCTAGTGCATTCGATGATTTATTTCCTACTTCCTATCGCCATCGCCAAATCGTTATTCTTTATATATTTCCAATGATCATCTCCAGAAAATACCAGTATAGTACCAGTATAGTAGTTTTGCTCTTTTACGGACAGTAATGTGCCCGCAGAATATTTTTATCAAAGGTTTATGTAAGATTTAATATTAAAATGGAGTTTTTTTTTTTGAACCAACTTGGTTTAGAATAATTTTAATTGAAGATCGTATATATTTAATCAAAACCTATAGCGCTCGTTAAAATTTCTCAAGAATTACAATGTGTATAATTTTTTCATTCCAATTCAATATCCAGCAACAGTCGAGTGATAGAATCTTCCTTTACTCAAATTTTTGTAAGAATTACGAGTATGGCTCGAATGCGATAAAATTCGTAATGTTGGACCATAAACTGTAAATTGTTTCTATATAAGTTTATACGTTCTACGCTTCTTTTTTGTGTTTTGTAGAAGTCAGGCTAATATACAAGCACAACGTCAACGTATACGTATACAGACCACACCTTCGGTAAATGGAAGGTGTGGTCTGTATACGTCTATATCTACTTGTATTCTTGATTAAGATTCAAATCGTAGATGCGTTGTTATTTTACAGGAATCATAATAACAGTAATTTTTAATATCTTGTTGACAAGAAAATTTGTAGTTAACTGTAAGAAAATTACACCTCACCTGACACGAAACAAGGTGAAATAAAAAATAAATTGTACCAAATTAATTTTTATTAAAAATTACAAACCTTCCATGTAACATTTGCATGTGTTATTGCATACCGCAAATAAATTTGGAAGCATCTAGTTGACCCTGATTTTTAATCATTTTCTGACTTAAGCTTGGATATATTTTTACTATAAAATGTATTTACTTCTAACGACAATTAGAATACAAATTATAAATAAGCGCATAGATGCTAACGTGCTGATGTTGTATACCATTATCGCTGATCCGATTTCAGATCGTGGCAATTATACGAGTAATAAATCCTTCATCGGGGAGAGGTTCATTTGCAGCAGTAGCCAGTTTTCGAGCTTACAAAGAAAACTATTTTTTAAAGTTCTACATACAATATGCCCATTGTAGCTCCATGATCGATATATTCAATAATTACTACCCCTGAAGAGAATGAATATTTCGTAAATGCACGGAATCACCTTTATGTTTATCTGTTACGGAAATAAAATATATTAAATTTGCCTTGTTAAACTCTAGGCTATAAGCATATTTGGGCGATTGTAGTAAAAAGTTTTAAGGAGGGAACAAAAGGGAGTCCACTGTCCTGTATCATCCCGTGAGTGTCATAAGAGGCGACAGATGAAAAAGAAGCAAGAGATGGACGGCAGTATCTTTATGATATCAACTAAGAGCTAGCGCGCACTACGACTTTTTCCCGCGTGATTATTTTATCGCAGAAATGCAACGTATGAGTTAGTAAGACAGTGCGCGCACATGCGAGTGAAAAATTGCAGCGATTTTAAAATTGTGATTTGTCACATTTTGACGCGACTACTCGCGACGCGATTGTTGCGAAAATAAAATGCAGCGTATGAAATTGTATGGTCCCGCGCGCACTGCGATCTTGAAATCGCGCACTCGGGCCGGCCGGCGCTTCATTCATGTCCTGTCCTTTCAACAGTAAACATGTTGGCGCCTGCATCTCCAATGGAGACTTCATCTCCAAACGACACAAAGATAGACGTGGAACATTTGATAATCACAGTATAAGAAAAACCACCTTTGTGGAATAAACATTCCAAAGAATATAGTGATAGAAATTTGAAAATTCGTTTATGGCAGGAAGTATGCGAAAATGTTATACAAAACTAAATAAAGAAAAACACGGTAAGATTTATTATATTTAATTATATTGCCATGGAATAGATCCACTGGATGAAGTGAAGTTGTTTCCAAAATAATCTCGTATTTCAATACAATTAACTGTAGGTCGCGCAGACGTGGGATCCATATTTCTTAGATCACATCCATACAATTCGTCTTTGAATCGTATTCCATCGTATTTCAGTACAAAATTGTGTAGGATAAAACATGCTTTGACTATTTTGTCACAAAACTCAATTTTAACGTCTAATGATCGATTCAAGATACGCCATTTATTTGTTAAAATTCCAAAGGTGCATTCTACCATTCTTCTTGCTCTTGTCAGCCGATAATTAAATACTCTCTTTTTAATAGATAAATTCCGTCTGGGATATGGTCGCACGATATGTTTTGAGAGTGCAAATGCTTCATCTCCAACAAAAACAAACGGCGTTTTAGGTCCATCTGTATCATTTGGTAAATTTCTTGGTTGAGGTATATATAACAGGTCATTTTCCAATTTCTTTGCAAAATTGGTTTGCTTAAAAATTGTAGAATCACTGCTGCTTCCATATGCACCGATATTTATCATAATAAATGAATAATTCGAATCAGCTACAGCCATCAAAACGATAGAGTTATATTGTTTATAATTAAAAAACTCTGAGCCTGCTCCATTTGGTTTCTCCAGTCTAATATGTTTTCCACCCACCGCGCCCAAGCAACTAGGAAAGTTTGTTCTTTTATAAAAACCCTCAGCAATTTTTAACCAATCATTTTCCTTCGGTTCGGGCATATATATTAGATGCTAACAAAACCATAGCTTTTCACATGTATCTTTTACTTTTTCACGAATTGTGGTAGCTCCTAATAAATATTCGTAATAAAAAGAGTAAAAAACTGTTTCCCGATGCAAGATATCTGAAAAAAAAAGAAAAATAGTAGAAATTAAGAGTATTTATAGTATTTGGGGTGGGTGGGATCTATCTCCTAGCGGTCCACCCCGGGCAACGTCTGTTGGCGGCTAAACGATCCCACTAGCGGTGGTAGGCTCCGCAAGGGGCCGCCTGGCTTGCGACCAACATGCTCATCTACAATAAAAATAAAAAAAACGCTTTGAGATTGCGCTGTATACGCAATAGACTAATTCGGTCAAAAATTTTCATTTATTTTACAGGTGCTGATATACAGAGAAAGTGGAAGAACTTGAAGGACTGTTTTTCTAGAGAGTTCAATCTGGTAAGAAGAAATGAAAGTACATTTTCTTTGATCAACTATCATTCTTGATACCTATTACTACTCCAAGAGACACTAGTGGCAACATCAAATCTATTGAAGAATGTGCAAATTCGGAAACTCAGTCGGACGAGAATAATAGCCAGCAGAAGCAGGATTCCAGAAAAGCTATATACCAACGTAAGACAGGTTCTCAAGGACAAAAAGAAAATACTGATGAAGAGGAACTAGTGAATATTTTACGTAAGAAACAAATTCTTGGCGAGGATGTTAGTTTTGCATAGATTTTGATTCCAATGTTACGGAAACTAAATGAGGATCAAAAATTTTATGCAAAAATCGAAATTTTAAATGCCATGGATAGAGCTAAAAAATATCTTCCGCAGCCTTTATACCCCGGATCAATGCAAACTGCTTCTCAGAATGTATGTCCCGGATCAAATACTGGTATGCATACCGCGCAACCTACATACCCCGTATCAATGCAAAATACTTTCCAACCTGTATATTCCACACCAATGCTAAATCTTCCACAGTTTATACACCCTGGATCAGCTAATAAAATTCTGGTAACTATTCCTCCACCGACATACACGAATACCAGTGCCACATATATTAATTCCGAGCCGGGAACATCCTCGTCTAATTTTGTTAATCCACGAAATATTGTGATCAACACGAAGAAACTCTCTGCAAAAAAACTGTTGATTGAAGAGAATTTCAATGAATTCAATACGAGCAATGACTATTATGAACGATTTGGACAAGATCTGCAGGCTTCTGAATCCGAGATTTCCCAAGACTCTGATGATTCTGATGATATACTTATTAACTTAATATACTAAATAATTATAATACATTTGTTTATTTTACTTACCTGAGGGTGACTGACAGCCTTTCTTCAGCAGGTATTGCATTTCGCCATCTAGTATTTTTGTATTCAATATGAGGTCAAACAATTCTCAGTAATCTGTCAAATTTTCAAATCTGTTGAATTTTCATTCTATAATAGCCAAAGATTTTTTGGGATACATCCGAAGTTCATGGTATTTCTGATAAAAAAAAACCTTTGATAATTCCATCCGCTGTAAAAGGATGATCCTCCGAAGTAGTAAATAAAGACAAGCAACTTGTACGGAATCCATGGTGTAACTGAGCAAAGATCACAATTTTTTATCGCAATGCGCGCACCGTACGCTTTGCGATTTTTTACAGCGTGATTTTAAAATCATGTCGCAAAAAGAAAAATCGTGGTGCGCGCTAGGCCTAAAGCTATTAAAAAATCGCGGTTGCTAACCCGTATGTCAAGCGGGGCGTGTTTGGTAAACCTATGAAACAACCTTTGGGAAGTCAAACCTCAGGCTTCAATAGATGAAAATGGCGAGGGTTGGATTTAAAGCTTGTCGTATAAAAATAGGATGACTATTTGCAAAATTAAGGCCAATCAAATATAAAAATATTTTTATTTGATAAAATCTACATCTGTCTACGTAACAAGCAATTTCACAGTTTGATGAGGCCATCTGCTAAATATGACAGTTGTATTGCAATCTTAATTTAAATATTTTTAATTTCCAGTATCATAACTTTTGCTTTAATCGAGAAAAGGTCAGACAAATGCTAAAATTAAACAAAAACTTTTTTACATATAAAACATTCATTATCATCATCATCACTTCAGTCTCTCTATTAATACTTTTTCATTGTTGTGAACCTTTTTTAATGTAAAAAAAAAGTTTTAAATTTCAATTCAATTTCAATTTATTTATTCGTTTTCACAGGCAATAAATTTTACAATGAATGAACGAACATACATATTTAATACCCACGTTAAAAAGTGCATCTATTTAACAAGGTGGTTATAACGCCATCTATTGGAAGCCATATACAATTTTCGGCATATCTCATAGTTGCGTCCTACGTCACTCAATGTACGAAATTAGAGGATGTCTTACACCTGTCTCACGAATGTGGCAATATAGGAGGGAGACCTATCTTCTGTAGTGGACTTGTATTGGCCTGTGATAAAGTAATGTTTGCCACTTTGCGACATGCCGTTAACGAAACAAAATCACATTCAATTAACATTAATTTCTAACGTAAAATATCCAGGCTGGTGATGGGGAGGGGCATCAAAGACGGGAAACATCTGGTACTGCAATTGTAAATCCGTCTTCCAAGCATGCTGATTAAAACTATTGAAGATAAGGTATATCTAGTAGTGGACATTTACGAGCTGATGTGGTAGTAGTATGTAAGAATCAATAAATTTTTTCTCGAATGCCAACCATATACTCTGCACTGTGCCAATTATCGAGTGAAGCAAGTTTAATAAATTGGTTATGGAAAGCAACATTACCAATGTGGCGGTATCGGCTCTATATTTACCAAACCAAATTATAGTATAATTTTTGCAAACATGAATAGGTCGACTTAATCAGAGAAGAACTACGCTCTCACAGAAAACTAGCGTGAAAAAGAAGTTGTACTGCTGTGTCTCGTATGGTATGTGAAGAGAACTAGAAACTCTTTACTGGTAATGCGGGAATTCCACCTTAGTTTTCGTACATGACAACACATCAATATTTTGATTCCTAATTGATCATAGATGTAACTTTCCACACTTACTTCCTACAAGTGGATCGTGAACTCCGTTATCACTATAAAAAATTGCCAGCGTGGTAAATATGAGCCAATTGCATGCCTAGAATTTATAAAGGATATATGTGAAAATGTAACTCGTTAAAATTCAATACAAAGTTCTGTGATTTTATAATAAAAAAGTAAGCAAATAGCACGATAAATCTATTCCAAATTGAAACTCCACATATCACGGAAGCTTCGACATTGCCCTAAAATTCCAGTCTTAAAACTCCAACACAATTTACACTTGCTATTGCCATTTCCTCGATGGAATACTATTGTTTATTTAAGAAGAAAAATAAAGAAAAACATTTTAAATTTTCTTAAAAAGTGAGATAAATCAAATTAATTTTCAAGAAAATGGTCACATTTGCCATCTTAAATCAACTCCAAATACAAATTGGTTTATAGTTACCGCACAATATAAAAGAAAACCTTATAATATCACGTTAATATCTTAGAAAAACTCTCATCTCGATGCTAAGCACAGGCTTTCTTTTATTCCTGACAGGATTTCAGGACATAGAATAGTCAAAGACGCTGCGCCTGTGATTTTTAGTGGGCTCCTAATGTGATCATTTTTTTTTTATTTCTCTGACATGCTGGTTTTCTAACGATGTTTGCCATCATCGCCGCATATGCTGTGCTAAATTTCTACTTAGAAATGCACCTTTGCGTTCAGAAATTTAAATATAAAAAATAGGACATAGGTATGTGAAACTGAATATAAAATAAATTCTAAGAGATGTACAAGAGGTAAACATTGAAGTATTTACCAATAAAAATAAACCACTAACTTTTCAACGCTCAATGGATAATATAGTTTACGGATCATTAGCTTCTTCCGATGTTGACCCCTCTTATAAAAGGCACTGGCGGGCAGAAAAATGGTTTACTTCTCTTTCTTTCACTTACTTTCACAGGGAAATAAGTATATATTATATTATATTAGTATAATTTTCAATTCACGTGTAATCATTAAATTATATAAAATTTATCTATATTTTATAATAAAGCGATGATCGTTTTTTTTCATACGAGAACAGAGTGATCTTAAGTGGATACTTGGGCTATAGAACCGTGGTAGTAGTAACCGTGGTACACGAGCAACCCGAGTTCGATTCCCGCCAGACCTAATGAAATGGTACACAGCAATTTTGCTGAATTTTCAGTTAAAAATCATTTACCCAGCAGTGGGGAGCATTAAAGTTGCTTTTACTTTCATAGTTTATAGAAACACTATATTCGGTTATAAATTCAAAAATGCAAATTCGTTGTCGCACCTGAGTAGATCGTAAAGAAGAGGTTAGAACAAGGTATCCCTCTTACAAGGAAAAGAGATACCTGGTTCTAATTACTTACTACACTCTTATGAAATACTTGGGGGTGGGTTTTTGTGCTTCAGTCATAATACTCTACAGTGTGGATTTACCACGTAAATACAGTTTTTTTTTTATCAATCTAATGGATAAATATTCGTATTCAAACATTGGTTTTTGACAATCATATTAGTATAATTTTTTAAAATTTTTACAATAATGTTATTAAAAAAAACTTTCGTTACTAGTCCTTACTATTATTACTATTATTTAAAAAAATATAATGTTTCACAGTAGCTCATACAATAAATATGAAAGGTGTTCGTCTGTCTCCTGCAAAATGCACACCGCACTTACAACAACGAACAAAGGCGATAGACAATAGCATCCCTAACCGTACACTCACCTGTTTGAAGATATAAGCTTTGTTTGAAAAAAAGAGAAAAAATGGGAAAACTGATATTTTGTTTTGGTCCTTAAAATTTAGCTCACTTTTCAATATTCATGATCAAAATATTTTTATGACTATTAATACGAAATAAGTACAAACGAGCAAACAGGCCATTACAGGATGCTGTGGAAACTACCCTCAAATTAAAATCCAAATGCAAATGCGTTGTCATCATTGAAGACTGAGATGATAGGTTTCATTTCCAGTAAAAAAGGGGACCCTATTCTGATTACTCATCAACAGTTACTAACTGTCACATCAGACGCTGTTCTGGCATTTCCGGTAAGTGTCAGCGGTGGTATTTCACTCCGCTTGCTTTCTTGTTCCGGACTATTAATAATAAATCTATTTACATACCTAGACCACAGCGCCACCTATCGAGCTCAGATTTATGAATTCTTTTTTCGCAATTAAAACTATTCCAAAAATTGGTAAATACTATAGTGAATATGAAAAATTTTTGGTTAATTAATATAAAATTTGTCAATAACTTGTCTACAGCTACTAAAGGATTATAGCATAGCTGTGAACCATAGTCTCGACAAAACAAATATATCGTGTGAATATGATCTCAATCGGTCATGTCGTTCAGAAGTTTCACGATCACTAACAGATGCACCAAAGATATAAAAAGATTAAAATATATTTACTGGATAGTCTTTAAGAACTTTGTTCTTAGTGTATAGTATATAAAACGATAAGTTACATGGAGCCGATCTGTTGATGAGTTGACTTTGTATTCCTGAGCCTACAACGTGATACTTCTGGGCCAATGCTTTTGATTAAACATAGCTTTACTATAAGGTGAGAACTGAAATAGGAACAAAAACCAAAATTATGTATATTAAGGCAGAATCGGGATATAATGTCATCAACAATGAATACTGTTTCAGATTTAAATTTCTTCAATAGTTTGGTGTGCATGTAAGAATTTAAATGGGGTACTGTTACATAACATTGGTAAACTTTAACGCCTTCATAACATTGGTAGCTTAGTAGATAGGTACCCGTTGCTTAATATTTTATAGTATGCGTAAACAGTGTTAGCTCCCCGCCGAAAAAAAAAAAATAATTGCAATTTTTTATGCTTATTTACCACGTACTTGGCGGTGAAGAAGAACATCGTATGGAAACCTGAAAAAAAATATATATAATATCTGAGAAACACAAAAAATAAATTTAGAAGACCGTGAAGTCCTTTAACACAAATATTGCAGCATGGTCACGTCTTGACCATAAAACACTCCAAGTAGTGAGATATGGCTTGTACTCTGGGGCGGAACATAAGTAAGCTGTAACTTTCATACCTTTAGAGTATGATGAACAATTTTTAATAACGATATACTTGATATAACCTAAATTCGTTCGTAACCTCTGTATGATGGGGAAGAACGGTTCTTGCCTCTTACTGACAAGCATAGCTTAAGGGCGT